CGGCAGCCGCAGGCTCCTTCTGGCAGCTGCGACGAGGACCTCGTCCTGAACAAGGCTCGTTCACCCCACCTCTTCCCCAAACATGGCTTTGAAGGAGCCTCTCACCAGCGCCACGAAGGCGTTACCTAAAATTGATGCTGCTGTAGAATGTCCATTGTAAAGCCCTGCCCTATCTATGCCTTGGTCGGTTCATGGATCGCTAATGACAAATTGTCCGGGAACAGGACACAAGGCCATGTGTTCTTCTCTTGACTAGTAAACCACCAAGAGTACGCAGTTACTGAGGATCTGCCAAGAAAGAAAGTAGGGGAAAGGTAATGCTGGCACGGGGGAGATTGCGACTGCCACCTCAATTAAAAACCAGAGAGACTACCCCCCACTCTCCTTGAGCGTGTGTTCAAGTTAAAAAAGTTAAAGTTAAAAAATCATACTGTACCTTTAAATTTAAGCAAAGAAGATATGAACCCGTGAGAGACAAGTGTGCTTAGCTACTTTAATGATTATGTAGTAGGTAGGTGTGGGGTGTTAACTGTAACGTATAAAAGTTAGAGAAAACTTTGGCAGGTGTGCTAGTGTTGTGGAATTACCACCTAGCACCCACCTCTGCGCAGAAATGAAACAAAACGATCTCTCGTCTCAGCGTGTGAAGGTTGGCTTCTTGCACGCCGGGTGAGCGAGCCCTGTTTGGGACAACAAAGGGAGCCCGAAGCACCAGGTTCCCCGTGTCGGCAGAAAGCCCTCAGGACTCTCCCCTCGGCAGCCGAGCTGGGGAGCTCGCCCCACGTGAGAACTGCCAGCCACAGCACACCACGTGCCTGCAGGAGCAGCCGGCAGGAACAGCTTTTGCTCTCCAAACACCCTCGCCCGCTCGCCGCACGCCGACTGAGTGGGGCAGGGCGAGGGTGCTACGGCAGGGACCGCTCACCCACACCCTGACGACGCTGCGGACCTCCGGACCGCCGTGCCACCTACGCTCGCCCTCCTCACCGCTCTGCGGCGGGGCTGCACC